ACAGTAATAATTCTGTATATAAGAGCAATAATTGTAACAAATTTTATATAGATATCTTCATTTACTAATGAGTTATGTGGAAAAAATCTTACGCCAAAATTGGCAGAAAAAGACACCGGGACGATCTCTGCTATGCAGTTTACGATGCCGGTAATCCAACAGGCAAAATTCCAGTAGACCAACAGAGTAAGGTAGAAGATCTGGTGAACAATAAGATAGTGGACCATGCAATCGCTTCAAAGGGCAAACAACCAATAGAGAGCGTGAGCTGCGAGTTCAGCATGGGCGTGATGTTGATGAGGTTGGTATCTCACCAATGTGTTAGCACCCTAAAGAACTTGGCGGAAAGAATCCCTTCTCCCTGGGATGGCGCTAAGCTGGGACTGACAAAGAAGAGCGAGCTTCCGGTGCTCTTAAAGTCCACTGTCTACATAAAAGGATGGGGCTGTAAACTGGCTAATGAACGTATACTGGAAATTCTTGGTGGTCAAAATGCTGAGCTGGCCGTGGAAAAATGGGGTGTCTTTTACAGGAAAGAAGAACCTGAGGGAAGTTTATTTGTAATAGGTATCGACCAGAAATCTATGGCTAGTCTTGCCAATAATAAAGGTAGGGCTTACTTGGCCTCTAAAGCTGTCATATTCAAAATTGGGAAGGTGCCGATTGGAAGGGCTGTTACAACAAGCCTCGAAAAGGACACTAAAATACCTAGCAACTATTAATAACGTTAAGGAGTCAAATCCTAAAAGCGAGTAAGCTACCACTAACTCGGCAGAAGAAAGTGCAACTGCCCTTTCCAAAATTGGGGAGGTGCCTATAGAAAGGGATGTCAAAACCGGCCCCGATAAGGACACTAAAACACCTAAGACGGTACCCAAAGCATCATTAGCAAGTACTGGTAATTTTGAGGAGTCAAATCCTAAAAGCGAGGAGGAAATCACTCACTCGCCAAGACAGAACAGCAGTGCTGTCCAAAATTGGGAAAGTGTCGATTAAAAAGACTGCTCTTGCTATGCCTGATAAGGACCGCAATGCCATCAATCACTGCATCAATAGCCACTTCAGGTTACCCGGAGGAGTCAAATCCAACGAGCTGGAAGACAGTTTAAATGGATGGCAATGATTGAGGTTATTCAAATAAACCTCCATCGGAGCGAGGCGGCTACCAACGCTCTGATGGCTAAAATTAACACAGGAACCTTGGACGATTCTCAACAAGGTTTTTGGATTAAATCACGTAAATTTCAAAATTTTCTATGCTGATACAGGGTCTCGACCGAGAATATATACCTTGCATCTGTTTACCTGTCTTTCGATTCTCCGACACTACTACCAACGTCGGAGCTGGTCGAAGAGGCACAAATGAAAAATAAGAAAATTGTAATAGGTTGCGATGCCAACTACAACCATGTAGGTTGGGGTAGTACAAACACCAATCGTAGGGGACAAGCCCTTATGGATTTCCTTAATACTAAAGACTTGATCACATCGATCTTAGGTAATAAAGCTACCTTCGTCAATAGAATCAGAGAAGAAGTATTAAATATAACTATATGTTCAGAAGAGCTTATAAACGAAATTCAGGATTGGCGAGCACTCCTTTTCTGACCATCGGTACATAAGTTTCAAAATATTACGGCCGCCACCAAAACCGATAAAGTTTCGGAATAAGTCTAAAACTAATTGGACAATGTTCGGTTACTTACTAAAGAACCGGCGTAAAAAGACCGCACTATACTGGGATGAGTATCGTAATAAACTAGGTGAATATAAGAAAATTGTTCGTAAAGCCAAACGAGACTCCTGGAAACTTTTCTGTGAACAGGTAGACAGCGTAAATGATGTATCGACGATAAAAAAATTCCTATCCAAAACTCATGTCCAACCGGAATCTATGGTCGACGATACGGGTAGGAGGTTGGAGAATACGGAGGAGACAATGAAACTCCTAATGGACTCTCATTTGCAACCTGGTATATCGAATAACATAGATGAACCGATATTGGAGGAAGGGGAGGCTAACACGGAAATTATAATTACATCTGCTATGGTTAAAGGGGCAATCAAGAGCTTCGCTCCCTATAAAGCTGCAGGATGGCATTTTTCCGGCACTCTTACAGATGGATGCCGGGCTGGTTTCCGTACATCTGTCTGAGATATTCACTGCATGCTTGAAATTCACATATATCCCCATTAAATGGAAGGATGCAAGGGTAATATTTATACCTAAACCAGGGAAACCTTGCTATTCGACACCTAAGTCTTATCGACCGATAAGTCTTACGTCCTTCCTACTTAAAACCTTGGAACGGATAGTCGATAGTATGGTTAAAAACAATATACCCGACAAAGACCCAAAATTTAAGCAGCATGCTTGTGTAAAGGGACGATCGGTGGAAACCTCTTTAATCGAAATTGTCCACTACTTAGGTGCATCCTTTGATAGCTTCAATAACGTGCACACTGATACTCTTATCCAATCCCTAGACCAGTTTTATGTTGACCGGGTGCTCCGTAACTGGATCAACCACATGCTAGGGAACAGATGGATAAGCTGCGAGATGTACGATATAACTATCAGGAAAAAGGTATTTTGAGGTATACCACAGGGTGGTATTTTATCACCTTTACTCTGGGTTACCACGATTAATAGCCTTCTAAGGACCCTAACCGAGAAAGGAGTTAGACCTGTCTGCTATGCAGACGATGTCGTAATACTTTTAAAGGGAAAGGATCCAAATTACTTGTGTAGAAGAGTTGAGGAGGCTCTGAATACGGCCTTGAGCTGGGCTCAACCGAGAGGCCTCAATGTTAACCCGGCAAAAATGGAAATCTGTCTTTTCACAAGAAAGACAAAAATTTCTACGTATACTGAACCTTGCTTCCTGGACAAGAAGATACCAGACAAAGTTAAGTACTTAAGTGTAATCCTTGACCGGAAATTAAAATGGAGACACCACATAGTGGATAGAATCAACAAGCACATCGGTGCTGGGCGAAATGTAGGAGAACTATAGACATGAAATGGGGCCTTAGTCCTACTATGACAAATTGGCTTTATAAAAGTGTAATTAGACCAATTCTAGCTTATGCTTCAATAATCTGGTGGACTGCTTTGGACAAATAGTGTAATATCAAACTACTACAGGGAGTTCAGCGTACATGCTGCTTGGGTATAAGTGGTGCCATGTGTACTACTTCAACCAAGGCTCTGGAAACGTTGCTAGATATTCCACCCATTGAAACATATTTAAAATATGAGGCGGCGCTTACAGCCGAACGCCTCTTTAATTTAGGCGAACTGGCCAAAAGCGGTGATGACGTGTCCTATATCAATGTATACTGGACACATTGGAAGGTTATACACAATCATCGGACGTGCCTAATCGTATACCAGGCACAGAATATGTCGGAAACTTTGAAACGCTGATCCCAGATAGAATATCTTGGTCAAGCGGAACATTAGAGCAAATACCAGTAGGAATCCGTTGTTACACGGATGGCTCTAAATTGGGGGACAAAGTGGGGCTGGGGTTCTATATTGAAGACCCAGAAACAGAAATATACCACCGTTTACCAAATCATAACACAAGCTTCCAGGCAGAAGTACGAGCAACAATGGAATGCGTAAATTCGATTAGAATAAATATGGCGCCCACAGCGCTTAATATATTTACCGATAGCCAGAAGGCAATCAGGGCGATATCAGGTGATAGAACTAAATCTAAGACCGTATTGGATTGTAAGAAATCTTTAACTGAATACTCTCCCAGAGGTAAGGTTCACATCATATGGGTACCAGCCCACTCGGGAGTAGTCGGTAACGAAAGGGCGAATGTAATAGCTTTAAAGGGTAGGGAGCTGGAGGCAGTTAACCTGACAAACGCGAAACCATTCGACGCAAAAAAAGCTGACCTAAAAATATGGGTGAGAGAATCCCATAAGGCCTCTTGGAATAATGAAACAGTGGGTAGAACCACGAAGATCCTATTGGTTGACCCTGATGAGAACAAGACGAAAAATTTCCTCAAATGAGCAAGTCTGAAGTTAGTATGATGGTACGTATTCTGAGTGGAGCACATCTATGCAAAATTGGACGTGCGGATTCAGACGAATGTAGAGCATGTGGAGAGGACAGTGAAACTCTGGAGCACTTTCTTTGCTACTGCCAGGCATTCGTCGAAGTTAGATCCAAGTATCTTGGAAGTGATGTTATTCCGGAAATAGTATTCCTGACTAACACTGATTGGAAGATTCTTAGGAATTACGTTCAGGAAACTGAGTTTATGAACACTGAAAAATAATTCATTCAGTTCCCTTTTTTTATGATAAGGAGCACACAACAGGCCCGATAGTGGCCCAAGTGTATTTCTTCGGATTTGATGTAGTATACATCCTCCTATCAACCTACCTTCATTTACTAATGAGTTATGTGGTTTTAAGTGATTTTCGGGAAGGGACCTTGTATGACAGCTATGACCAATTATGGACCGATCGGAAAAAAAATTCACAGTAATATTTCTGTATATGTGAGCAATACTTGTACCAAATGTTATATGGATATCTTCATTTAGTAATGAGTGATTTTCGGGAGGGGTCCTAGTATGGGAGCTATGACCAAAAAAACTTTCAAAGTAATATTTCTGTGCATATGAGCAATATTTATACCAAATTTTATATGGATATCTTTATTTAGTAATGAGTTATGTGGAAAATGAAAAACATTTATGGTGAATTTGGTTAAATTCTATTGCTTTGTTTTATCGTGAGCTTGTTTTACACAGACATACGGACAGACAGACATAGTTAAATCGACTTAGAATTTGATAAGGACCCAGAATATATATACTTTGTTGGGTCTCAGATGAATATTTCTTGGTGTTACACACGGAATGACAAAGTTACATATACCCTTTATCAACACTTATGGTGGTGGTGGGTATAATAAGCAGCTGATTGAATACACCACCTTATGTGAATTCGCCTTAGTCGAATGATTGTCCCCTTAGCGTGGACGCCGTTCAATTTTAAAATTTATCGTCAACGAAGTGTTCATCATTAAGGATTGAAAATAATATTATTTTATTATAATTTTACCGATTTCGTTTATTTTTTAAATTGAACAAATTATAATTGTATGCTTTCAATTTGAGCAATTTTTCTTTTGCATACTAAAGTCTTTTTTTTGAGCCGCTGATATAAATTGTGTCGACGTAGATCTTTGAAAGTTAAACACATTTAGTATGGCTGCTGGACCAATTGCAGAACGAAACCAAGGTAAATTTTGTCTTAACTTTTGAAATTTTTTTAAATATTAAATGCTTTTTTTTAAGATGCTACAATTTATGTTGGTGGTCTAGATGACAAGGTGTCTGAAACATTATTATGGGAGTTGTTTGTACAAGCCGGTCCTGTAGGTAAGCGTCTTTTTGTTTTTAGTATTATAGTGCCTTCAAATTTATGAAGTAGGTATCTAAGTTCGTTGGAAATGAAGAGAGCCGTAGCCGTTGAAACGAAATAGAAATTGTGTCCAATATTCTCTAAGAATTATCCAAAGTGGTTACGTATGCAATGATTTAGTTTTGTTAATTTCATTAATTACTGTTCAGCTCCACCACAATTTTCCAATATTATATGAAAATAAAACAAAATATATTTTCAAAATTTAATAAGACGTATTGCTCTTGTATTTATTTATCTTTTACCTCGTAGAAGTAATAATGCCAAGAGCATGTAGTGTTTATGTTAACGATCAGAAAAAAGTTTAGTTAATTTACAAAACGTAAATTGGTGGCTCGTTAAAATCTTCCAACAAAGTTGTAATTAAAGCGGAACTTAATAAGATTCTAACGTTGCAAAAATTAAGCTGACTATACGTCCTCTTTTTAGAGGACAATCATCTATTTTGACTGGCTGTCATCTTTGAAATTTATGTCCTCTTTCTGTCATCTATTTCCATAATATGTCATTTTAATTTTTAAACCTTGATCAATATTTATTTTTGTAAATTAAAACCATGATACAACCATATGAATTATGAATTAAAATAAATTTTATTAATTCATAAAAGTCAAATAGCTGAAAATACCTTCATTAAACCATTGACAAATAAAAGATTTTTATTGCATTTCTTTTAAAATAAAATCTAAAATTTATAATTTTATCGTTTACAAACTTTTAAATAAAATCTCAGAATAATTTTGAAAGATTATATTTTGGGAATAAGTCTGTAATATAGGCAACATTGGATTAATAAATTAATATTTGACAATATTTCAATTGGCCAGTTCTATTTTTAGGCAATTTGGAAAGGTTATTATTTTGCCTGAACTCTTTAAAAATGTTTGTAAATAACATTATAAAACAAGTAAGAAAGTATAGTCGTGACAGACCATATGACACCCTACACTAGTTATGAATATTAAATGTGATTTATTTTTCATAATAATTCATTGTTTCGATACATTTAAGCTATTTACGGATGAAAAACCAATTTTCTGAAAGAGACTTTATATGGGGGCTAGAGGCAAATATGGACCAAGCCCGATAAAGTTTTGTGAATATATTTATATAATATTTTATTGTGCTGAATTTCATCGGAATACTTGTGTTTATAAGTTAACTTTGGATATTCAAGTAATTTTCTGAAGGGGACTTTGTATGGGAGGCCCGATCTTTATGAAATTTGGCAAGGTCATCAAAGCTTGCATAAAACTTAGTTATGCCGCTTTTTATCGATATACAGGTATATTTAACATAATTATGAGCTCAGAAGCCCTTTTCGGGTGTTCTGTTGTATGGGGGCTAGGTGAAATAATGGACCGATTTTATTAATTTTCAATAGGCTTCGTCCTACTCAAAAAAAGCGTGTGTGCCAAATGTCATCCAATTGTCTTTAAAATTGCGACCTGTATTGTGCGCACAAGAAGTCCGGGCAGACGGACGGACATAGCTAAATCGACTCAGAAAACGATTCTAAGATTGGTATACTTTAAGGTGGGTATAGGACGAATATTTTTGTATGTTGCAAACATCAGCACAAACCCAATATACCCTCCCCACTAAAGTGGTGTAGGGTATAAATACCGGCTGACTTCCAAAACGTCAGTTGCTTTTTATAAGAACAAAGTATAGTGTTTCATAACGCCGCAGTACAAAACATTGACATTGCATACTGTTTCAAAACGTCATCGACAAGGATTTATTTATTTATTTTATTTGTTGTATCAAATTGTAATCATAATGAATTATGAATACAAAAAATTGTTTTTTACATATGTAGGTACTAACTGTTAATAGGTGATATTTGATTTACGGAAAAACAAGGAATGAAAAATTTATTTTTCTATCAATAAATTTTCTAATTAAAATTTACAAACTAAATTGATTAAATTCAAAGTAAACAAAACAAGTATATTATAAAGGAAGTTCATTCTCATTTTCCAACACCCCCACTAGGATGAACGCCAAGATTCATAATATCACAACAATGTAAATGCTTTAAATTGTTAGGGATTTCGTTAAAACATCAGCCATATCCACCATATTCTCGGTATTCAGATATTCAATAACGACCTTTTTGTTATTTACGAGATCTCTTATAAAATGATGTCGTATGTCAATGTGCTTAGAGCGAGCATGATAAATACTGTTATGCGACAAATTTATAGCGCTTTTATTATCGCACTTTATCACAATAGACGATGATCGTCCAAGTTCATTAAACAGAGATCGTAGAGAGATCTGAACAAATAATGTATTTGCCTCGGAGATTTTTATATTTATTGAGGGTATAATAAATAGCAGTTGATTCTACAGTAAAAATTGAGCATTCAAGGCTTAAACTAGCAAGGAATTCGACCTTTAATGTTTTATCTATTACTGCAAATGTTTTAGAATAGTCTGTTATCTGTATACAAAAGGTTCCAATTTTTGTTTTCGTATGTTGTAGAAATTTCATTAAAAAGTGAAATTTCATTAAAAGGTAGGGTCATAAGATCTGTAATAAAACTATCCTTTTTCAATTTCCATGGTGGTTCAGTGGGAGAATAAGCTTTTTTCTGTTTTAAGTTCAAACCAATATCGGAAGCGAATTTAAGTGAGTTGTAGATCGTTGAAGGAAAGCGCATTGGGAGTTTCGATAGCAGATTTGATAATCGACAAATAAGGTTTTGTTCTGATGGAAATATAATTTTAATTATTAAATTTGTTGTGAGCGTTGTATATCTTTGGACAATTGTGTGTAAACCGGCTTCAGCAAATAAATTCTTAATAGGAGTAGTTTTTATAGCGCCAAGGGCAATTCTTATGGATTGGTGATAAATTGGAGCGATTTTTCTTAATTATGTGTTTTTAGCTTTACCGTAGATTTTTAGACCATATTCTATAGTTGACAGGATTACACTGCGAACAATATTTATTAATGTATTGGGATGAGCGTTGCCAATTTTACCAGCTATGCATTTTAATATGTTAATTCGTTTTGATAACGTTTTTTTAATATGATCTAAATGAGAAGACCAGGTGAAATTGCTATTGAAAATTAAGCCAGGAATTTTCAATGATTTTGTCTTATTAATTTGATTCCCTTGGATGACAACGTTGGTAGAATTACATGATCTTTTTTGCATACGTGTAAATATTTAGTCTTCTCGAATGAGATTTTAGCACCAGTAATGTTGCACCATTCAGTTATAGGAATAAATAAAGAGTTTATTTCCTGTTGAATATTCGAGTTTAGCTTGTGCTTATATATTATATATAAATCATCCGCATATATTATATGTTTGAAAAATTAATTATTGGTTATAATTTTGTTCAGTTTGTTAGTGGCGATTTGAAAGAGTATCACAGATAGTGCGGATCCTTGAGGAATACCATTATATAGGTTTTCTATAGATGAAAAGTAATTGTTTACTTTAACTTTTATCTTTCTATTAGATAGAAAAATGTAAATAAAATTGATGATTTTGTTACCAAATTTCCATTCCTTGAGCTGTGAAATGATTGTATGAATTCCAATGCGATCAAAAGCTTTTTCAAAATCAACTGATATGATGGATATGTGACTGTGATATGAAAGCGCAGAAGCAGTTAAATGGTCTATATAAGTTAAAGCATCGATGGTTCCTTTATTTGGCCTAAATGCAACTTGATTAATGCTAAGAAGTTTATTTTTTAGAATAAACCATGTAATTCTAGTTGCTATTATTTTTTCGAGTAATTTCGATACATCGACAAGGATTATAAACGCATCGAAATGACAATCAGCGCATCAGTTTTAAAGTTGATGCTTGTTGAAATTATTTGCTAAAACTAAACAAACAGCTGAATTACTAAAAACAATACTTTGCATCTTCTATATTTTAGAACGTGAAAATAAACAAAGCATGGTTGCCATGTTTTTAAACTTTATTTACATGTGTACAAGATTTAAATACCGCAGTGAAGTTGTGTTTAAACTTTGTATTCGTACGTATTGGAAGTAAGCCACCATTTCATGTTAAATAAAGATCCAATCCAATAGTGTATACGTATGTATGTATGTTAAATATAATATTATATTAGATAATATAATTAAAGAATTTATCAAAAATTGCAATAAAAATAAGTAAAGATAATTTATTTTTTTTACAAAATATTCGTTATTCGGATACTTTTAATAATTTAAATATTATATGTACAAGATTTAAAAAAAATATATATCTTTTAACGTAAAAGTCTTTAATTAAACGAATATTGTGATTATTTTCAAATACATAGAGAACTGGAATTGGTTGTCAACAAAATTACTTACTCGAAAATGTTCAGAAGTTTTCACATGGGAATTAAATACGTAATTTTGTGTAAAATATGTAAAAAAATTTAATTCAAAAAATTGTTTTACTCCTTTCTTCACGTCATATACTTTCGTTTCCAAAATCTGGTCGCCTTAAAAAATAGTATTTGCTTACGTTATCAACAAAATGTAAATCATAAATCGAATAAAATCGATTTTACCCTAAATAACACAAGTTTTCAAATCAATATTTTTTGTTTGCTCATGGAACAAATCATGTATTTATGGAAAGGGCTTTGTCCAGTGGTTAATTAACAATTTTTTTTCCTATACGTCGAAATTATGAGATAAAGTGATTTTTGTTAAGTAGTAATGGAAAAATATTTGAAAATGAGAATTGATTTTTGGGGTGCTTACACCTGTTTTGGGATATTTTTGGGAATAATTCAAAAATTTTACGTTATAGATTTTTTTAAATATTTTTTCTGGATTTAGACGGCTAAAATAAAGACATCCATGTATGTATATAGGGTTATTATCATGAGCAAAATCGTTGTAAACTAGTGTTATTAGTTCAAAAAATATTCCTGCAGTATTTTTTTTTCAACGGAGAAATGTTTCACACCTTTGATAGTTTAT